TTTATTTTTTAAAAAACAAGACTGTTATTATTTTTGTCAACTTTTTTACCGGGGTTTACTGCTACACCAGTTGCTGTGACAACCCTAGAGGAGACCAAGACAGTACTCTAGAAAGAGCTCAACTTTAATATTTTATATAAATATATAGAAATTTTGTGTGTTTATGTGCGCGCGCGCGCTGCTGCAGTTCTGGTTACAACAGGCTGGATCTTCATTCATTCAAGTAATATGTCGGGTTTAGGAAATTGATTGCTTTAAGAGCTCAATATATATGACCTCTCCTTATGACCAATAAGCTGTGATACTCTATCTAAATATAGAATATCAACCCTGCCTGGTCTTTGTGTGTTTATCAGAAGATTCTAGGATTCTTTATTTATTAAGGTATTGTACACACTTGATTCAGAAAAGAGTCAGGTTTATAAAAGTAAGATTTTATTTTACCACCAACAATTAAAACATGACCGGTTAACTAACATTTACTGTGATGGATGGAACCCGATATGATGTATGAACCCTATGTGTGAATGCGATGTTATCAGAACTTCCGTATCTAGGAGAGCTGAGTTCTGGATGTGAAAGAATTTGGTTTGCGTTAAGCTATGAAGATGATTATTATCAAAAACACATCAGACGCAATCTGTCATGTCTACATACCCACTCGAAGACCCTCGTGATAGATCTGGAATGTCAGTCCTCGGACTTCCAGGCACCGAAGTCCGTAGAAGAAACTGCGGCACTACTGGACCTGTCTTAGAGTTGTCTCCAGGTCACAACAGACGGATGGAACCGCACATCTGGCAGACTCTTAAGGACTCTAAACAATATCAGCTTGTTCTGCAGGAACTGTTTGCTGTATCAGCTTTGCAGGTGCAAAAATATTTTGACGAGGTGTCAAAAGCTTTGATGGGTTAAAGAGGTTTTTGCTTCAGATGGCCGGTCTGAAGCTTTTCTCAAGAACTGCTGAATCACCAAGTGGTCCAGTTTTAATGTTCTCATGTTATGATTTGTGTAGCCAACCAGAGGTTGACAAGTTGAGGAATATTACCAAGGCAACTCAGAAACATGCCTTCTTTGATACCGGATGCTCTGTTCTGGGGTAAAGGGCTATTTATGTGTCACGCGTTTAACTTTACTTTGTTCTTGTGTGAGTGCAAATGGTGATGACTTTGTCATATAAACATGCTGAAACATATTTCAATCGCTGTAATCTTAACATAACATTCATTTCAAACTTCAATCGTTGAGCACAGATTAATGAAAGCATTTCATTATATTATAATTATTATAAGTAGCAGTAAACAAACATTTATTTGATGATTATCTAGCTTATAAGATTTAGAAGTTCATGTTTAATTTAGGAAATCATTCTTTGATTTAGCAACTGATCCGAGCTGTGAGTGTTCACTTATTCAGAGGCATGAAGAATCCTGTAGGACGATAAGGGAAGCTTGAACCTTGAGGAGAGAACATTATTGTTGACAATTTGTTATCTGTTCAGAGCTGCAGAGAGGCTCTGAGCTCCAGCTGATGGGATGAAGGCAGACTAATTTAAAGGGAACGCATGCAGTCTCGTGTCTCCTTTTTGACCAGATTTTGAATGGGCAAACTGTACCTAAAAACTGACCATTGCTCGACGTTACAAATGGTGCTCAAATAAGATTAGTGATAATAATAATACTCTAGTAAAAATAAAAAAATACAAGGCAGTAAATTAATTCCAAAAAGTTACTGCGCTCTTCTGACAGTGATGGATCCGATTCCTCACTTAACTCTTTTTCTGTTCTACCTCTTCTGAAACACACACACACACACACACACACACACACACACACACACACTAGGATGAAATCTGCTGTGACCCTGCTCACTGGGGTATGGAGGTGGAGTTTACATGTTTGTAGTGGTAATAACATGTTTACTCTCACTGGTTCCTGTGCAGGTGGTTTTAATGAGTTATTCTGTTGGTACACACATCCAAGTGACCAAACTGGTCCCATAGTCATGATTATGCTGGTGGTGGTCGGAGGGACCGGTGGCGCCCGTGCTCGGCAGCCTCATCTCTGTCAGTGCGCCCCAGGGGAACTTTGGCTACATTGTAGCTCATCCCCAGCGTGTGAATGTGTGTGAATGGGTGATGGACTGATTGTGTTGTAAAGGGCCTTGGAGGAGGGGGTTCCAGGACTCTAGAAGGTGTTTTATCAAATACAGGCCATATATCACACACTGGTGAAATTACATCTCTGCATGTGGCCCATCCCCGTGGGGAGCGGTGAGCTGCAGCTGTGGCTGTGCTCAGGAACTATTTGGTTGTTTAACCCCTAATATCTATGTGATGGGAAGGAGGGAGGCTTTGGGTCCCATTGTTAAAGCCTTTGGTATGACCCAACTGGGATTTGAACCCCATTCTACCAGCCTCCGGGTGGACACTCTACCACTAGACCACTGAGAAGGTGGGCCAAAATACCCAATCTGCTCTTGTCCCAAGTCTTTTGGAAATGGGTTTGGAATATGTAAGATGTGTGATGTTTCAGTCAACGGTGTCACACATATGACTTCATGTAGGTGGGATGCTGTTTGTCCTGGGTAGGGACGAGATGTCATCATGTATGGGTCAAAGTGCATCCACCCTCCCCTAAAAAGGCTGCTGCTGGATGTCGTGTTGGTAGTAAAACATAGTTTCCAGGTAGTTAAGGAAGTAAATTCTACTCTAGGTTTCCTGTAAAATAATCTGTTTTAAACTTTAACCTCAAAAGAAGATTACAGCTGAAGCATCTGTTCTGCTCCTGTCAGAGGGAGCGAATCAGACTCCCCTCAGACACAAACATTAAGCGTTTCCTCCTCCTGATCGAGGAGTTCTCTGTTACATCTTCTCCTCTTCATCAGTAAACCTTCCTCCTGCTTAGCATCCTGCTCCATCCCCTCCACTGTGTCACTCCTATTTATAGCAGCATTTGGCAGGCAGGAGTCGGCGTTGTGCCGCCTCTTCCTTCTCCTTGACAGCTCTGAGAGAGGAGGAGGAGGAGGCTCTGCTCAGACACTCTGAGAGGAACCTCCTCTCTGCTTCCTACATTTGTTCTGAGTGTTTTCAGCTTGTGATGCCTTCACTGACACTTTCAATTCTCACATCTGAGTGTTTATAGTGAACACCAGAACCAGGGATGTGTATTTTTGAAATTCTGGTGATACGATACATATCACGATACAGGGGAGACGATACAATATATCACAATATATTGCGATACATTCAGTCAGACGTTACAAGCAATTTTTTTTACTGAATTTATTGTAAGAATGTTCAATAAACAGTCAATTCTGATACGTAACATGTTTAACATGAGGTATCTGAACCGTGATGGAGGGATTTACATTTCAATGGTGGAAACAAAACCCGTCGCACACTGCTGCCAACTAGCGGGTGACGAGTGAATTACACAAAACAAAAAGAAAATACACAAATGTTTGCATGTAAATTCTTTCAAGAATTAGATACACGGCTTTTGAATATTGATATAATATTGCTGGAAAAAATATCACGATATATTGCCATATCGATATTTCCGATACACGGCTTTTGAATATCGATATAATATTGCTGGGGAAAATATCACGATATATTGCCATATCGATATTTTCTTACATCCCTAATCAGAACCAAGTCATATTCAGCCTCACCAAGACGGTCGGCCCTGTCCCTTCCTGCTCCTCCGGCCCTCCATCTGCTGCTCTGTGGTTGAGTTTTCCTCTGAGTCGAGTCGAACGGGAACGTTTTAGAATCTGAGAACGTCTCGGCATCGTCAGCATGAAACCCCAGGTTAGGTTGGTCTCGTCTGGAATCAGAAGATTCCACGAGCTGAGGAATTCTTTGAGGACTTGTTTTGTATCTTCCAGTCTTTGGCTGTGTAGTGTCGTGTGAGGCTCATGTAGGGGTCTGATGTTTGGCTTGTTCACATGTCCACGATAAACGCAAAAATGAAGATGGTGCATTAGACACTTCAGTACGGACCACTTCAATTAAATCAGCCAAGGCCATGGGCAGCGCCAGGGATTTTTACCTGCAGTAGCTTGGTGAGCTGTTGCTGCTCTCCATTGGTGCAGACTGGGGGGTTCCCTATCAGCGTACCGGGTTGACTGAGAGGCCCAGCTTTACTACCCGAAGTAGCTGAACAACACTTGAGAGAATCATTTGAAGATGAATAATAACAAAGGTACATACATGTACACATAAGCAGTAAGCTAGTATATTAAACAAGGTTCTTTTAGCTTCGGACATGAAGGTGTTTCGAGTTACCTTTACATATTTCGACCGTCTTCTGCGGTCTTCTTCAGAAATGTCACGGGTGTTTGTGTGACGCGTCTTTATCAGCTGTTCTTCTGGCTGGCTGGTCTTTGGAGAGGACCGCACGCAGACAACGGTCTAAACATGTAAAAGGTAACTCGAAACGCCTTCATGTCCGAAGCTAAAAGAACCTCGCTTAATATTTAAAACGAGGACATAAAGAACATTGTAAAGGAGTAAGCTAGTATTGTAACCTTCAACCACTAAAAAACACAAATAAAAAAAGAAGAACTTTGGTTCCAACACTATGCAGCCTACGGCTGTGTAACTCTGGTGTTGCATTGGTGTTGTTGTGTGACAGCATAGTGCCAGTAGAGCTTAAACTGAGGAGTTACACACTTACTGAGGGGATGCAAGATCCACACTAGCGTTCTGTTGGATGGCTGGGAACTTTCTACAGCTGAATGAAGATAAGACTGAGATCCACCCTCTTGGTCAGCTTGCTTCTCACACCAGACCCTCTTTTGAGAATCTTGGTGTGACCTTTGACCCAGCTGTTCACTTTGATCTCTTGGGCCCGGATGAGTTCTGGTAAAGCTGGACCCGACCTAACGGACCTCCTGCATGTTTTCATCACGTGACCTGTAGAAACGGCGCCCCCTTCTGGTGGGGTTTTCTACCTGTGAGATGATGCTGAGCATTTGTTCTTGTTGTTCCGCAGAAGTACCGGCACCACGATGAAGACTCCTCCCCCCAGGAGCACAGCTCCCCCCAGCTCACGGAGGAGGCGGGGGGCCCGGAGCTGGTCCAGGTAGCAGAGAAGAACCTCTCCCAGATCGAGAACGTGCACGGATACGTCACCCATGCTCACATCTCACCTATGAAGGTAGGGGGCGGAGTCTCTGACACTGCTGTTTTCAGGTCTACTCAGAGCTCCTGATCCAGAACCTAATTAGTCTAGGTCTGGGTCAGGAGTTCTGGACTGGGTCAGGAGTTGAATCTTCTGTTTCTCTTCCATCTGTGTGTTCTGGCTGGTTTAGATGTGGATTAAACATGTTTGTGTTTCTGTCCATCGACCAGACCCGTTTGCTCAGATCTCACATTTTGTGTGTGAATAAACCAGCTGATTGGAGCTGCGTGACCTCTGACCTTTAGTGCTATCTGTGTAGCTCTTGAAGCTGCTCTGAAGCTTTCTCAATGGTCCATCCATTCAGAACCGACTGGGATCTGTTCCTAGAAACACAAAGACACTCCTGGATACCCAGGTGATGTTTGATCAGTGTTTTAATGATGTCACAACCGCTGACAGCTGAACACCTGGGGCCTCATTTGTCAAACTCATCCTTACTAAAACTACCAATCCAGGAAATAGTTACGCAAACATAGACCGCCCATCTAATGCTCACATCTGATCTTTGGTGGTTGTTCACATCATAATTGCGATACTTTTCAGAGAAGTTCTGTTCAGGTTTTAGGTCCCGCCATAGCACTGAAACTGCCCTACTTAGTTTTCAATGATTAGTTTTTATCTTTAGACTCTGGCGCCCTCCTGCTGTTAGACCAGAAGGCAGCATTTGATACGGTTGACCATGACATCCTCTTGTCTAGGGCTGCTCGATTATGGCAAAAAGATGATCACGATTATGTTGACTGAAAATTATTTAAGACGATTCTTTAATTAATGCTGATTTTATTGATTGATTTCAGAGAGCCATTTCTTTAGTGACGACACATTTCCCTTTCCTAATCTCCGGAGTGCAGGCTGAGTGTTTTGCTAACCTGTTGGAAATGTCGCCGACAGTTATCCATAAAGTATCTAAGGGTTACCAGAAGTGTTTCTAGGTTGTTCTCTAGGTACCTTAGGAACCTTAGGATTTAAAAAGTTAAGAACAGGTTCTGAAAAGCTGTTAAGAATAGAAACAAAGTCGTTAAGTTGGCAAGACTGAGTTATCGTTCAAACTCAAATTGTAATTGTGATTAAAATTTGGTTAATTGGGCAGCCAACACGTCACGGTTGAACTGCTGTGTAGGTCGAAGGGTGCTGCTCTCCAGTGGTTTTGCTCCTGTTTGTTTGGCAGATGTTTGTATATAAACATGGACCCCTACAGATCAGAAAGGGCCTCTTTTTAATACGGCGTGCCTCAGGGCTCTATCCTAGTTCCTCTGCTGTTCGCCCTGTACATTCTGCACTTGGGGTTTTTCTTCCTGAAACATAATGTCTCTTTTCATTTTTTTTTTTTTTTTTTTGCTGATGATTAGCAAATTTATCAATCTATAAAATCAGGAGCAGATTCTCTCAACTGTGCCGGTGTTGGTAAATGACTTTTTCAAACAAAACAAGGATAAAACAGAAACTTTTGGGAATTTTGCTTCTCCGGAACTCACCTGAGCTTCTTGTCCTCCTACTACAAAAAACTTAGGAATCTTGGAGTGTTTATGGATGGCTCTTATAGATTACAGGACAGGTCAGTGCTGCTGTTAGTTTTGTGTGTGTGTGTGTGTGTGTGTGTGTGTGTGTGTGTGTGTGTGTGTGTGTGTGTGTGTGTGTGTGTGTGTGTGTGTGTGTGTGTGGTGTTCGTGCATGTGTGTGGTGTGGTGTGGATGAGGCGTGTGTGTGTGTTTGCATGTGTGTGTGTGAGGGTCTATAATGTGTCTGAAAATGTGTCCCAAAATAAATATTTTACCAGGTCCAAAGTTCGCCTGCAGTTGCCACATTTTTCATCCAGTCACAGTTTTCCAACCACGTTTAGCAGCTTTGTGAGGAGCCCCTGAGGTTTAACCTGTTCAGTCTGAGCTCCTGGAGGTCAGACCAGAGAGCTCAAACTCCATCTGAAGGTTTCAGGAACTTCCTGATGAATTAGTTTTAATATGAAACGTTTGGTGTGATCAGATTTGATTCGGAGCGACTCAACTCGCCGCCCTTCGCCGCTTTCATCAACACCTGATGTGGAAACGATTTTGTATCACCTGCTTCCTGTCAGCTGTTTGTGGCTCAAATCTCAGGTTGTTTTTATGTTGCTGCTTTTTGTTGTTTAGGTCTGAGAGGTACAGGTGCATCATGGGAAGTGAGTTTCAGGCTTGAGCTGCTCGAACTGGTTCTGATGTTGAGTTTTAGATCAAACTGGTTCCATAACCACCGCCATCTAAAGATAACGCCTTTTCAGCTGATTTCTGTGGCGAAACGCTCAGACAACTGATGTGATATTACATTAGCCGGGAGGACAGCCTCAGATCAGATCATCTCTGAGGACAGACAGAAAGCTCCATCAGGCTTTGCTGCTGCCATGTGGTGGATCGTTGACACTGCAGCTCATGGGAAACCGTCAGTTTTCACCTGGTGTGTGTGTGTGTGTGTGTGGGTGGGTGGGGCGTCCTTCATTTTAAACAGAACCAAGAACCTGATTGGACTCGGTTCTAACATGGTTTGGTTCTGTTGTTTGTGAGGTTCATCAGTCGCTGTGATCTCAGGGATTTTCTCTTCATTGTCCTCGTCAGGTCTTTGTTGGACCCGTCAGCTAGTCTCTGTTGAATCCCACTGGCTGCGTCCTGTCCTCCTGCTGCTGCTCCTTGTCCTCTTGCTTCTTCTCTTACTGTCTGACTTCTTCTGTCTCTGTCTTCTGTTCTTCAACATAAACCTTCTCCTGTCATACTCTGACCTCCGTGTTAGACCCAGAGTTCTTGTTCAGGCTACTAATGAACCTTGCGGGGTGTTCTGGGTGTGTTCCTCTCTTCAGGTCTTGTGTACGGACCCAAACCACTGACTCAGTCCTGCTGGTCTAGGACTGGAGGCGGTCTCTGAAACACAGTTGGAACAGATAATCTGCACAATTTTCTAAATCCCCCAGACTGGTTCTGGATCCCCGAGCCAGCCCTCCTGGTGTCTGAGGTGTTCTTCCACACATCTGATTGAAAGGAGGATGCGGATTGTCAACCTTCACAAACATCACTGGTTTGAGTCCGTACATGGATCTGGTTCTGAGGAGAACCTGAAACCACAATTTGACCTGATCTCCTGATGTTCCTCCAGACCAACGATAGAGGAGGAAACTGAATCCAGAACCACTTTAGTAGATATGAAGTTCTCCTCCAGATCAGACCCAGAACCTAATTTGCCTTCGTCTCCTTCATGCTGTTGACCCCTGCGAACCTCCACCCCATCTCCTGTAGGTGGCGTCTCTGGATTGTGTCTTTGATGGTTCCTCGTTAGGACGCCTTCACTCGGAGCTCCCCTCCCCTACGTCGTCCACTCTCTTCCCCCATGGAGAGGACAGCCCCCTCCCCTCCTGTTCGTTCAACCCCTACCCCCCAATCCAGGTAAACCCTGTCCCCGCCTTCCCCTCTACAGGCTCCACCCACTCTGTAAAGAGATGGATTGTAGTCTGCAACTTATCTAGATGTTTCTTTAAACTTAGAAAAGAGTTCTGATTTGTTAGTGGTACCGACCCCTGATTTTGGATCAGATCCTGGATTGCACAGGATCCGATCCGTGGTCCGGGCTTGGATCTGATCAGCCTTCAAGTATCTTCTTTAATCTGTTGAGCTTTACTTTCATCAAATCAGCGTTCAAATCTGTTGGAACACACTGATCAGCAGGACAGGATTCTGTCATCAGGGTTAGCTTAGCCTGGAGCAGATATCAGAACCTCCTCCATCAACCTCCACCTGCAGTAACGCCATCAGAGGGGATGGAGCGCTCCTCTGTTTCATCATCCCTTCACTTTTTATCTCTGCAATGTCGCTCTCATCTGCAGCGCCATGGCAACTCCAGACAAAATCTTGGCTGGATGATGATGGGGCTAAACCTGCAGAAGGACAAGGACAGATTTAGTGGTGTGTGCGTGTGTGTGTGTGTGTGTGTGTGTGTGTGTGCGCGTGCATGTGCGAGTGATGTATTTTTAGCTCCAAGACTAAAGACTGATTCTTCTCCTTCTTGGTCTGCATCATGTAGGATGGCTGAGTGCGGGGCATGGACAGAGATTATAATGTAAAACAGAAATGACGGGTGTCATAAATAAACTCTTCAGTATATAATAATTTTTTTACCTAATAGTTAATTGCAGACTCGTTTGTGGATTAATCGCTCAAGTTTTTCTGCTAAACCTTTAAAATAGAGTCAGAATTTTTAACCACTCATCTTGTTTTAAGGCATTTTGATCATTTTTGACCGATGTTTGTTTTAACGTTGGTTTCTGTTGGAAACATCAGATTTTATTTCATTCGTCTTTGAGCCATTAGGGTTAATTTGTCTATATTTTACTTATTTAACTGTAAGCTATGTTTAATAAATTAGCTTCAATGAGTGTTCAGTTAATAGAACACAACTTAAAACCTTTTAAAGGTGCGTGGTGTAAGAATGAAGGTAGAATGACACCTTGTGGTCAGATTTAGGTGCTGCTTTCTATGCTTATTAACTAAATGTCACATTCTCACTCCCATTGTGTGAGTTTCAGCTGTTGTCAGTTACAGATCAGCACCAGAAGATTCTAGATGAAAAGCAGAGTAGAGTCATTAGATAAATGCTTTGTCATATCTGATATTGGCACTCTTGGATGTTTTACGGTAGGGAGCACTTACTGCGTGTATTACAGTAGTTTGTCTCCGGCATTAGAGTAGTTTGCTGTCTTGTTGTTAGCTTGCAGTTATCGTTCTGAATGACTCATTAAAGGAGGGTCAACGCCTCGATTCACTCATTCACTTCACACACACATTTCATTGTAATATCCAGCTGCTGGTCAGTGAAAAAGCAGCTTGACATATTTTTAGAGCCAACTACATTCTTCTAATTTACCGTTAGCATTGTTAGCTCAACGTTAGCCTTTAGTAGGGCTGCTTGATTAGGGCAAAAATTATAATCACAAATATTTTGTTTTAAAATAAGATCTTATTATTTTTAGCATGATCTTATGTTTGCATCAAACACAACTTATTGAACATTAACAGTGGCTTTCAAATGCTGCTTTTAGGATTTGAGACTTGACTCAAATCAGCAAATTATTTTTTAAACCTTGACTTAAAAACTGAGACAGAGTTCTTCCGTGGGAATGAAACAAAAAGTGCAAACACTGATAAATAACAAGAGATACACATTTGCAATATAAAAGTACACACACCTATGTATTGAAATTCAAGAACCTGCGGCATAATTTAGTCCTGTGCAGCGGTTCCATAGCCGAGTGTGTACTTGCCTGACCTGCCAGACTCATCCTCTGTTTAATTTTACACAGAGAACCCTAACCTCCCATAAGGAAGCATGGGGCTGGCTGGTCAGGCTAAGTGTGGACAGCGGCATCATCAGATTTTTTTTTTTTTTTTTTTTTTTTTTCATTCACAATGATGAATTATCCATATTTTGGAGCATGAGAAGACAGTTAACTGTGTGTATTAAGCTGGCTGTGTGAGAGTTAAAATGCCTTATATGTATAAAATTCCCATCCCACCCTCTGCGGGTGGTCTCATCCATCCAAGCTCGGGTCCTCTACCAGAGGCCTGAAAGCTTGAGGGTTCTGCAGTATCTCAGCTGTTCCTAGATCTGCTCTTTTCTGGACTGAGATGCCTTTCCTGGGATCTGCTTTAGCCACTCCTCCAGTCTGAGGGTCAGTGTCCTGATGACCACGGGCACCACCGATGTCTTCACTCTCCAGGCTTTCTCTATTCCCTGAGACCCTGGTGCTTCACTAGTGTCTCGTGTTTCTTTATCCTGATGTTGCATCACTTATCACCACAACAACTGCCCTCTGTTGTTTGTCCACCACCACAATGTCCAGTTGGTTCTCTATCACCATGTTGTCAGTCTGGATTTGGAACTCCCAGGAGCTTGGCTCTCTCGTTCTCTACCACCTTAGTGGGGGGGTTACCCACTTTGACCTTGGGACCTCCAGTCCATACTCTACACAGATGTTCCTGGACATGATGCCAGACACTTGGTTGTAGCATTCCACGGATGCTTTCGCTGCCAGTATCTTACACCCTGCAGTTATGTGGTGAATTGTCTCAGGGGTCTCTTTGATAGCCTACATCTTGGGTCTGGTCTGGTAGATCCTGGCCTCTGGTGTTCAGGGCCTGTTCCTGTGCGGCCATGATGAGTGCATCTGTGCTGTCCTTCAGACCAGCTCTTTCTAGCCATTGGTAGGATTTCTTGATATCAGCCACTTCAGTTATCTGTCCATGGTACATCCCATGTAGGGGTTTGTCCTTCCGACAATGGTATTTTCAGCGTCTCCTCTGTTCGACATTGTCTGAGACATTCACTGAGCACATCATCTCTTGGGGCCTTGTCCTTGATGTACTTATGGATCTTGCAGGGTTTCCCCCAGCGCTTTATAAGCCTGGCGGTCCACCAGGCTTTGCTTGGCCACCCACCAGGCTAAGCGTCATGCCCCGCCCCACTCCCCGACCCTACCGTGTCCGCTGACATGAACGGCGCAATGAAACTAGAGCCCTCCATCAGCTGATACCGGTGAGAAACGGCAGCGGAACATGTGCAACCCCCCGCCCGCTCTCACGGAGGAGCGCTGCATGCAACAGTTCAAATCGAATGGCGCCATCTTGGCAGGCAGTAGCCTGCATCTAGGCTATTTATTGTCAGAAAAGTCAATCAAATGGGAAATATGGTAGATTTCTGTTGTGCCCCAGGATGCCAGAACAGACGCGGATGAGATAAGGGAAGAGCCTTGTACAGGATTCCACAAGATCCGGAACGCCGCAAACGTTGGATCATATTTTTTAGAAGCTGGTAGGAATATCTGTTTATTTCATTTGTAAGGACACTTTTAAAATTAATTATTTCAAACTGTATTTACTCCCAACATTTTACATGATGACACACATAAAAGGTGCCTAGATTGAAGTTGCATCTCCTGGCAGAATGAGTGATCAAATCTGTAACTGTGGCTCGTTACAGTCAGAAATGTTGCTTGTCGCAGTTTTGCACCTTTGGCATCTAAAGAGTTGACAGTTCAGTTTCACAACTATGTTTTAAGAAAATGCTGAAGTTATTTTTCTGAGGTTTACGAACGCACACGACGTTTCACACAGAGATAACCTTGCAACGGGCTGTTGCTAATGGTAACAAAAATCTCCACTTACCCTCCCGGTGACAACAGCGCTGTCCTTTTCAGGAAGAATCCAGATCAGGATACCGACAACAAACCCAGATTGATTCCATTTTTGTCCCTCCAGGCTTTTATATGCTCTTAGCAATGCTCCGGAGTAAGACGAGGGAACATTAGCAAGGAAATTATAAATGTCAGGGTATCTCAATTCCGGTAAGAGGTCCGCACCGAAAGCTTCTGACGTTTTTAAAGTATCCCAGGGGCATGGTAAGGGTCGGAGATGTTTAGTCTATTTCATTTCTGACTATATAAAACAATTTCTTCTATTTTAAAGTGTGAAGTAAACTTCGACGGAGTAAAATCCAAGCCGATCCCGTTCATTTTGTTTACCTTTGTTGCCTGCCAACATGGCGTCTACTCTCTGAGAGTCACGTGACGTCCGGAGCTCTATAGTGCTGTGTTTTAGGATGACAGATCTTGGTTCTTGGCTGACTAGCCATTAGTACAGACAAACTGTTAGCTTGAACTGATATTAGCTGCTGATTTAAACACTTAAAAAGCTCCAATAGCACAATAAACCGTTGCCATTCTCATCTCTAGAGGGGTCTGAAAACTCACTAAAAACTAGTAAAGATGCTAAGCTAGCAATGCTTCTCAATGACTTCACCCATTTCTCTGCATAGAGCCTGTTCAGGAATTAGGTGAAATGAAATCCTGCTAATTAGCCTTGAGATTTGCTGACCGTTGCTGTCCGGTTTCCATGGTGATGTGGATGGGTCAGACCTGGTTTACTCGGGCCCGGGTCAGATCAGAACCAGGGGACTGGACTGGGTTGTTTCTTGTTTCACGTAGAGAAACAAACGTAAACTTTTCGAGTAAATCCTACCTTTAGTTTCTACATTTTATGGTTTTATCTTCATAACTGACAGATTTTTCTCTAAGGGCTCGTTTTGCTCCTGGTCTCCTTATCTCTGCTTCCTTACGAAGGAGCAGTCGTGACACCTCCTCCTCTGATCTCCACACTGTCATTCAAAACCGGATTATTCAGCGTTTTCCCTGGCCGAGTGTCCCCCGTCGATTGGGTTTGGGGTAGTGGGCTGAAGTGGGACAAAGGTCAGCTGGTCCGACCCCGCGGTAGACTGACAGCCAGGAGGAGGAGGAGGAGGAAGGAGTTGCGTGATGTTTTCAGACTGCAGAGAGATCAGAGGACGTCAGCCCTGCAGTCTGTTGTTGCTGTTCTCCTTAGACAGACGGAGGCTGCTC